AAATTGAAAAGCAAGAAAGGATTGCCTGTTGGTTTTCAAGAACCGAAGAGCACGCAAAGAAAAGTGCAAGAAAACAAGGGTTTTCTTGCTTGCAAGCCTCCCTCAAGTAAAAGTTTCTAATATAGTTCAAGTTCTTCAAGCTTTAGATTATTTTCTATTGTTTAAAGTTGCTGTGAGGGTGGGAATTTCGGAGCTAAGGCAAGAGAGGGGAGAAGGGTGGTGTTTGGCTCTCAAAAACTCACTAAAGTCGCTTAAAAGTCTAATCCCTTAAAAGGGAGGGGGATGGGTCCTTTTTATAGGCAGAGGGGAAGCTTTTTGAACACTCTAGGGCTTTCCATTGCTTCCCCCCACTGCCTCCCTCTAGATATGCACCAAGATTGAGTTTCCAAAATAGGCTCTGCCATGCTTGGATGTGCGCACACACAATGCACATGAGTACGCACCACTCTTCTCGGTTCATGTGCCATCCATGCATGGAAAATGTCTATGATTAAAGCACATCCTTCTTTTTCTTGGGGTTAGAAAATAGGTTTTTTTTTGCTAAAAATGGGTGTAGGGGTAAAATGGTCATTTTTGCAAAAAGTTAATTTTTTGCCAAAACAGGTTTAAATTTCACTTCCAAATGACTTCAAACATTCTAAAGATGAAATAATTACTGTTTCATCTTGGGAGGCTTGCAAGCACTCAAAGTCTTAGGGTCAATCAAAATGGGGTGTCTACAGTTGCCCTTTTTAAGCAGAGCTTAAACAATCATGAATTGATGTAAAGCGAATGTCAAAGATCCAAGACTATCCTGACCCTAAGGCTTAACGCAATTCAAGACAAGCATGCAAATAATTGAACCCGCTGGTTGCCTACATATCCTTGGTGTAAGGAATCAGATCAGTATAGTTCGGGGGCGATTGTGCAACAGTTCATTCATTCATTCATGAGTGTGTGCAACAAACACTTAAGCATTTCATCCAATCAAACAATTCCTAAAAGAGAGGAGGAAACAATACCTTTCATACTCACCTTGCCGTGCCAAAGTTATGCCAAGGTCCATTCCAAATTCTTATTCCATTCTATTTCTTTCCAAGCATTGCCAAGTGTGCCAATCCTACAAACTTTCCAAAAAAAACCATTTTCAAGCAATAATATACATCGTAGTGTGGTTAAAGCAATGACATTATGATACCAATGTGTGTCGTTCCTTTATTTTCATGATGTTTATGCCATTCCTTTCCGTTCCGTTCTGTTCCACTCTTGCTCCTTACAAAGTGGAGGTTTATTAATTCAATCCACTCTTGCTCCTTAAAAGGTAGGAGTTTAAATTCAATACACACCCGCTTCTTATGAGGTAGGAATTTAAGTTCAATCCACTCTTACTTCTTACAAGGTGAGGGTTTAAATTCAATCCACACTTGCTCCTTATGAGGTGGGGGTTTAAGTTCAATCCACACTTGCTCCTTACAAGGTGGGGTTTTAAATTCAATCCACACTCACTCCTTTACGAGGTGGGGGTTTAAGTTTAATCCACACTTGCTCCTTACGAGATAGGGGTTTAAGTTCAATCCACTCTTACTCTTTACAAGGTTGGGTTTTATTAATTTCCATTTCGTTCCATTCCATCTTTGTTGCCTTACAAGGTGGGAGTTTAGTAATTTTCATTCCATTCTGTTCCATCCTAGCGTATTGCGAGGTGGGGATTTATTAATTTTCATTTTGTTTCATTCCATCCTCGTGCCTTATGAGGTAGGGGTTTATTCAAGTTATGTTATAAGTTTTTCCAAAATCCAAGTGGTGCCTAAGTTGTGCCAGAATTTTCCAAGTGGTTCCAAGTTTTTTCTGAAATTTTCCAAGTGGTGCCAAGTGTTTTGTTCACCTTAGACGAGCTTTATATGCCAAATTTCAGGTTCTTCAAAGTTTAATTTCCAAGGATTTGGGTTTCTGAGTTACCAAGTAGGGAACTTTGATCATGCGATTTTTTCCAATGCTAGGTGTGCTTTTTAAAACATTCTTCTATTCTAGTAACAATTCAGCTGGGGAGGAGTTACAGATTCATTTTCCATGCAGATGCCAATGACAGTGTCTAGTGGGGATGGTTTTTTAAATTTTCTTCTATTCCATGCAATGTGCAATGTGTAATGTGTGTTGGTGTAGTGTGATGATATGTAGTAGAGATTCAATTCAATTTTTTTAGTGACGTGCCTAAAACGACGTACAAATGCTTGAGCTTGAGTTCGGGACGTACTTGTGCCTTAGAGACGACCATAAGGTGCAATTGGCTGGTCACACATGCAGGCATGTGGGCGACATGTGTGCCAGCACAGGATGTGTCTGCGCATATTGGGCTGGTCTGTGCACACATAATTGGTCGACATGAACAGACTTACTTATGGCTGGAGAGTTACCACCTTTTGATCCTACTACTTACGTACCTTTGACACATGCTCCACGGACCGGCATGGAGAGATTTCTTGAGCTTAACGAGGACAACCCTCGTTCGGTGATTCTCCTGGAGCTAAAGTAGCTTGTCCCACACGTGTTTCAAGGTATGACCGTATTCCTCTATTTTTCTGTCACGCTTTCCTTTCATTTCCTTTCCTTTCCTTGTGGCTTACATGGAGTGCTTTCATTCTGTTCATGGCTTTGGTTCACCAGCTGGCATGGTCGAATCATATCTGGCCCTACTCGAGACTATCAGACTCTTGGTGGATGGGTATGGCCTTGGGCGCTTGTGCAAGTCCTTCGACGATGCGTGGGTTAGCCACAGCCTTCTTGCCACCCTAATGTAGTGATGGTGGGACACCACTGACTCTTTTCACTTCCCTAGCTCTAGCGAGATGACCATGATGCCTGAGGATTTCACAATGCTATCTAGCCTTCCAGTTGGCGGCATCTCCATCCCTCTGGATTCGGATCTTGCCTTCCGGGCCAATGCCTTGAGGTTCTTTCTGGGCGTTGTCCGTCCTGATAAGAGCAGACTGGTTAGATACCAATGGTTCCATGACCGCTTTCGACACCACCGACTGATCACCTACGTCTAGATTGCTCAATACACCAGAGGTTTTGTGTTATACCTATTCGGGTGCGTTTTGTTCGCGAATAGGTCTAAAAGGGTTCATGCCTACTTTTTGGCTGCCATGGTGGACATGGATCGGGTTAGGGACTATGACTAGGGTGGCGCAGCTTTGGCTACTATGTATGGTTATACGAGTGTCATCTCGTCTAACCGTGGCACCAAGCTAGGCAGACATTGGTGCCTATGAGAGGTACATTTCTTACTTCTCTTCTTGCCACTTTTCTTGTCTCTTCCTTTGTGCATATATGTCTGTCTGTATTGCTTATCTATTGCCTATACCTATCTATTGCCTATTTTTCTTGACTATCTATTTTTTTTGTTTGCTTGTAGATATGGTTCTTTGAGTACTTCCCAGAGATGGGTCCTAGGGTACGAAGCGTCTCTCCAAACGTCTTCTCGTGAGCTGTCTGGTATCAGAAAGGGCACAGGGACCGACAACACTCTTCCATCTTCTCTACCTTTGATGAATATGGGTAGATGCTTGATAACATCACCCCTAACCATGTGAGTTTTCCAACCATCCATACCTTGATCAATCTGGCTTTTTTCTACTTGCATATTGATTATAAAAAATGCCCATTTTTCAGATCACATGGAGACCTTAGGCGGCTGTGCCCACTGCTGGTGTAGTTTGGTATGTGGCCATATAGGCGATCACCCGACAAGGGCTCTTGCCAGAGGGTTCGTTTATTAGCATCTAGTACTTGGCTGAGCGGGTCAACTGTGACAACTCGTTTTACGTTATCGCTCAAGCGGTGGAAAGACCACTCGGGCTGAGATGAGGTGCTCCCAATAGTTTGTTTTGTAGGTTGAGGGACCGCTCGAGTGGTCGCTCTAGCCAAGATGAGGGGTTCCCAGTATCTCGTTTTGCAGGCAGGGATACTGAGAGGTCTCGTTCACCGCTCGAGCGGTGAAAAGACCACCTGAGCGTTCTGCGCGAATTCAGCAACTTAAAAGTCACTTTTTAGATCATTTCTTTCACTTTTCCTTTTCTCTCTTCTTTCCTCTCTTTCTCTCTCTAATTCCGAAAACCCTTGGTTTCTCTTTCTTATATCTCCCATTTCATTAAGATTCAAGCCTAAATCTCTTGCAAGAAGTGGAGTCTACGTAAAGATCTTACTTTCTACCGATTGGATTTCGATTCTACAAAGGATTCTTCTTAAAGTCTAGTTTTCTTGCTATTTTCTTGAGGTAGGGTATCTTTAACCGTTGTGACCATGATACTTTACTTGATGATTGAGTTACAAATTGAGTTTTATGTTTAACACCAAAAAGGATTTTACCCAAATTTTATCAAGGTTTCAAATAAACTCTTATGGATTATGAGTATTGATGTTGGGAACTATCACATATATGAAGAGGGAGTAAAAGCCCCAATTTTATTAAAAATCGTAGTTTTGATTTTGATGAAAAATGATGTTTGGATGAAATTGATTTTCAAATCATGAAATTTATTAGACATTAGACATAAATAAGTGGATAACTAGATTTTTGAGTACTGTATTAATGTATGTTGAATTGGGATTTGTAGATTTGGAAATTGTTAATCCATGTATTGTATATTTGACTATTCATCTCATGTATTTATGAATGCTTGGTTACTTGGAAGGTGGTAAAAAAGGGGATATAAATAGTGTATGGGTCTGGGTAAAGAGTCGATTTTTGAGAACAATGTGTTGTGTTGGTCCCTGTGTTAGGAGTTTAGGCGCCTAGATGCCCTATCTTGAGCTTATCACCGGATGAATGTGGAAAAATATTTTTGGATGTCCGTTGGTCTTGCCGTATAATTTTCATGACCCCAAAATTGCCCCTAGAGGTTAAGGATCATGACCGGCCTGTACTTAGGCCTCAAAGACAAACTTTCAAAAATATTTAATTAGTTTCGGGGCCTGAAGTGGAAACAAAACAAAAATAAGAATATCCTTTGAGCTGTGTACATGATAGACTTAAATAATTAAAACATTCATATTGCATATACAAGGACATATCTTATACATATCTCACACACACATAAGACTTTATCAAAATATAAAACTCTGACAAAACAAAGCTAAAGCGTCAATACGGAGGCACTGCTTGGGTGGCTTCACAAAGGGGCTGACTCCGAGGCAAACTCGAATGCCAATCTTCCAGTTGCTCACCTATATATATATATATATATAAGGGAGAGGGGTGAGCTAAAGCCTAGTAAGTAATACCAAAATAAAGAGGTTAATGAATGAAGTCCAACATAATATAAAACCATGTTTTACAATTCTAGAACGAATCATATTTCACATTCATGTCAAAACATTTGCTATAACAATGTCCATCATCTCATAAAACATATCTTCCAATTTCCAAAACAATTCATATATCCAATCATATCAATATTTGCGATAACAATAATCGATTGAGTCTTATACGTGGTATATCCAATAGAGTAACAATATAACAATGTGTTGAAGCCAATAGGACCACTAGGGTCAATCCAATGGAACCACAACAGGTCAATCAATAATCCATAATTCAATGTGGACCATTAAGGTCTAACATCAAATATCTCTGTGTTTCAATTAATCCAATGGGCCGTGGTATTGTTTTCCCTAGGCAAAGGCCTATTAATCAATGGGCCATGGTATTGTTTTCTCCAGGCGAGGGTCTATTAATCAATGGGCCATGGTATTGTTTTCCCCAAGCAATGGCCTCAGTAAAGGATGCCACGAATACATTTTGCAAAAGGGACATTCATTAATTAATATAAAATAACATTTCAAAATCATCATCATGTAACAATTTTCAAAACATATTTGAACATATCTTTATAAGGATATTACTCACAGTGGGCTTGACATGAAATATAACTCCTCGGATGCCCAACCTACACAAAGCACACAAACGAACATATCGAAACATAATATTACTCTCTTGATCACATATAACTTCTCTTATTCTTTCCTTCCGAAATAAACCGAATTCTTATTTCCACGTATTCTTACTCTTTCTTTTCAATAAACTGATTTCTTACTTTGCTTCATAATCAATTAATTTATGTTGGTTCTTAATTTATTAATTTTCAATGAGTCATAATTTATGCCTAAGAATGCTTGGGAAGAGATGAGAATGAAAATATGAAAAAGATGTAGTTTTTCAACACATTTTGAAAAGGCCTGACTGCTCGAGCCACCACTTGATCACTTGAGCGGACTGCACAGTCTGTAAAAATATTGTGAGCTCGTAATGTTCGCTCGAGTCACCAATTGGTTGCTCAAGTGGTCTATAAATTTCTTGGGTTTTCAAAACTGAAGATTTAGCTTCCAAACTTCATTTCAAAACTTAGGCTCATGCTTGACCCAATTTCAAACTCATAAATTCAAAAACATGAATTAAACTTTCAAAATATAATTTTAAAACTTGGGTTCATACATGGCTTGTCTAAAAACGTACAAACTCTTAAATAATCAAGAAAACATGATCAATTTTAAATCATTTACATCAAAACACTTTTAATTTAAAAATTAAGCTCATTTGTTCATAAACTCATAATTTTCCAAAGCTTAATTCTTATTTCATCAAAACATGAAATCAATTTTAAGAAATCTATGATGCATGTACAATTAGAGTATTAAAACTTGTAGAATTTGTTCATGCATGTAGAAATGAGACTCAAATTTATGCAAGATATTCAAAATCAAACCCAAAATAATTAATTTCTAAATTTATTTCCATAACCATGAACCTAGATCAATTCCTTCATCATTTTGCCAATTCCTATTTTAATTACATGAAATTGAACTTAATTACTTTTTAATTTCAACTTTTAGGTGACTTATCTTCAAGATTCAAACTTCAATTTCTTACCTAAAGTCTTCAATTTGTTGAGTCTCTTGATAAAGCTTTGAGTTTCTTCCCCTTGTCTTCAATTTCTTGATCTCTCTCTCTAGAGTTGAATTTTCCAGCAAAAACATGTTGAACTCTCACTCTCTCTCTCTTTTTCTCACGGTTTGCTCCAACAGAATGACTACGATGCATAGGTCCAGGACAAATATACAATTAAGCTCACTTTCTCATTTCTCCTACTTTCTAGAACACTCTCTAACTCTCTTATCTTATTTAATTGACTTTGATTAGATGAATTCACTAATCACATATTGACATAAATAATGAATTGTTAATGTTAATTAATTATGTCTAATCTTTAATTTAATTAGTCTAATTAACTTCAATTAAGGACCAATTAATTATATTTAATTTTTACTAATCTGAATCAGATTTTTAATCAAACTCCCAAAAGACTCCAAATATTAAATTAAACTTACTGCCATCATCAATTTTGATTTCTCAAATCATTTAAGCCTTCAATTTCTGATCAGATCCCAAATTCTTCTCAATAATTACATATTCAAATTTGACGCCTTATAAGTGAATTTAATTCAGAATAATCACAATTTCTAATTCTTATAACCAAATTGGCTTAATTAATTCTAATTCAGACCCATTAATCAAATCTTAATTTTACTAGATTGAATTGAAAGTGAATCGAATATTTAATTAACCTCCTATATGGTTCAATACTTGAAATTAACTTATTCAACTCATCAATTTCACCTTCTTGAGCCATTTAAGTCTTTAATTTCTAATTCCAAAATAAATCCTTAATCAAATCATATACGAATCAGACTAAATAATTCTAATAAATCTCAAATTAAATTAGAATAAGGACTAATTAAAATCCAAATCTCTTTTATTAATTAAATGCTAAATATTATACGTGGCGAAGTCGTCACAATAATAGTCAGCAAAAGTGAAAAAATGGATGGTTTTGGGTGCCCACCATGCACTGTATTAATAGTCAGCAAATGTGAGGATAGTTTTGGTTTTAAATCTACATATATGCAGTATGGGGCTCCTATGAGGGTTTCATGGCATATTTACCACCCTGGTGTTGAGAAAGGTTTTCAATGGAATAATGATGTATTTGTTTTATTTTTTTTTAAACATCAACTTTAAATTGTGTTTGGGTTATGATGATACCATGTGGATGTTCAAATAATTAGATACTCTGTTAAACGTATTTCTACTGGGCATATAGCTCATCATATCTAACATTTTTAGGAATTGGTGATGTGCCACCACCTCAGTGAGGAGAAGTAGACTCTTTTGTTTTGATTGGAGCACCGAGGCTCATGGATGTTAATGTAGAAGCTCCGAGCTTATTTGCTTAGGACCATTTGTCCATTTTTGTTGTAATAAGGCAATGCCTTGAATTTGTTTTAAGCCATTAAGGCATTTTATTTTGTATCCTCTAACTTGTTGAACTTTGTCATATAGAAGTGTATTTAATATGTTGAACACAAAACTGTAAATGGAAACCTTAGTGCAATGAGAAAGAGGACCTTTTAGGGTTAATATTATTATGATGATGACGAGATTTTGGGTCCAACCATGTTTTAATTGATGTTTACATTAAATAATTTGGGGACGTTACAAATTGGTATCAGAGCTAACCAGGTTTGACTAACTTGAGCTCGTGGGAAACGGCTAACGCTATAATGACTCTGCCATGCTAGGAAGGATGTTAATTGCTTAACATGATTATGTGTTTATGTGACTATGTGGGTATGGGATCAAACTTCTAACTTGGATCCACTGCACTCATTGAAATCCTTTTGGAAAGGCACATGATCAATGTTTTTTCCACTTGGAAGTCCTTGAGCATCGTGGGACATATTGATTTCTCAGAAGGGTGGTTCGTATGTGCTCTATGTGACAAGGTGCTTATGTGGCTTAAATACATGTATGTCCTCATGCTAGTGCGTGTGGGACGGGTGAGACTAAGTGTAGAAAGGTGAGTCACGAATTTAATCTTATCTATAATTCTTACAAGATGTTAGGATATAGAAGAGGTCTTGGCAGACCACACCGGGATGGTCGGAATATTCCATCCAAACCGGAGATCCCTCTACAAGAAGAACAAGGGGGTCAGAGCAATGTGGCCACTCTACCAGCACAAGATGCAATGGGGCCTTTGGCTCGGGAGATGGTTGCAGCTCTTAGAGAGTCCATGGACATACTGAGAGCTAAACAAGCAGCTAGGACCGTTGAAGGAGAGACTAGAACTTCTTTCCTGAAAAAGGAATTCTTTCGTTCAAACCTCGCCGAGTTTGGTGGCGGACCCGACCCTATGAAAGCAGATAAATGGTTAGAGCAAATTGTCAAATCTTTTGAGATCTTAGACATCTGTGAAGGTGACTTACGGGTAGCATTAGCGGCATACCAACTGAAAGGAGAGGCTGGGCAATGGTGGAAGTACGCCAAAAATTGTGTTGAGCACACTTGGAAGGCATTCGCGCACACTTTCTAGGAGAAGTTACTCCCTCCTACTGCTTGGGAACGGTTAAGGAGACGATTTAGAGAGCTATCGCGGTGACATACTTGTGGCCGAGTTTGAAGCCACATTTACTAGTTTATCACACTTTGCACCGAAGTTAGTAGCAACTGAAGGATGCTGATGCTTAAAATTTGAGAAGAGGTTAAGACCGAAAATTTTAATGAATGTAGTGGGTAACATAATTAGAGTTATGACCGGCTTGTGGAAGCCGTGGCTCATGTAGAAATTATAGTGGTGGCTAAGGAAACCAAGCAAAAGTCAAAGAGATTGGGGTACTCAGAGTCTAGGGGTGATTCAGGGTCTTCGAAAAAGTCTAGGAGCTCATTGTCCTATTAGTCATCATCACAACAAGTTAAGTCTTCCGGTTCAATGATGATTGGTGGTTCAGGGAACATGGGTCAAACCCGTGGTGCGTGTTATAAATGTGCCTATAGCGATCCCGGGTTTACCCTTGTTGTACAGTGATCCGGACATGTGTCCGTGGATGTTGGTAGTTGTTTATTATTTTATTTACATCCTTTTTACTTCGTATTTGAGTTATAGGATGTGCTGGGTAGGTTTGTTACAGGTTGGTTGAGTTTAGAAACCAAAACTAATTGCCCAGGTTTTGGCCTGTACGCTCGAGCGGGGGTTTTGGCGCTCGAGCGGAGTTTACACCCATTCAGTATTTTCCTGTGCAGCGTTGTACGCTCGAGCGTGGTATTGGCCGCTCGAGCGGGGTTGTCTGAGGATGGGTTTAATGTTATTTTTTTGAGGGCGTTACAGTGCCTAGTTGGGTGACAAGTTTTCAGAGTGTGGTTAGAGAATTGGGGCTCAGACACAGTTGGCTTGCTCTTATAGTCAACCCCAAACTAGGGACCAAGCACCATCTTGCTACCAATGCGGCCAACTGGGGCACTTGAAGAAGTTTTGCCCACAGAAAGCAAGGACTGTTAATGTATCAGGATCTCACCAGTCAAGGGGCTTCCAGACAGGCTAGGGGCAGGCACACTCTCATCAGCCGGCCTAATCGGGTCAGGCAACCAGAGCAGTACACGGGGCCACATCTGCACAATCTGTGCAGCAGGCCTATGTTTCGAGAGGCGACCTAGGAGAGTAGAGGCCACAGGGAAGGGTGTATGTCATCGCCGCATTAGAGCAGTCTTTAGGACCATCCATGGTGAGAGTTAGGGGTGTGCGCGGTGCGGGTCGGTACGGTTTGAGAGAAAAATAGAAACCGTATGGCGGGCGGCAGATTGATAAAAGTGTCACTAGAATCTGCTATTTTCCTTATCAAAAACCGGCAGTTCGGTTGGCAAATAATGGCGGATTTGCCTTGGCGGTTCGGGCGGATTGGCGGTTTATAAAAAATATAATTCAAATTACAAAACTTAAATCAAAGAGTAAAAAAAAAACGAGAGATACCGTGATGTTAAGCATCTTGCGAAGCTTCCTTCTGATGCAGTAAGTGTAGCAACAACATGATAATATCAACGACTATGCCATCAGTTCATTACAAGCATCTGTGGAAGCTACAATGATCAAATACAATACATAAAATTCCTCTCGAGCATTAATGTAATACTATATTCTAAGGTATAGAACAACAAGCAAACTTAAGTAAAAAAGAATTTTTAGAATCCTATAAAACATGATTTAATAGCGGTGCGGGTCGGTGCGGTTTGGAAGAAAAATAGAAACCGGCGGAAGCGTCCAGAGGCAACATGGCAAAAAAAAAAAAAGATTGAAAAGTGAATTGGAATCCAACTTTATTTTGGATTACTGACATCTTGAATTCCCCTCGAGCAGTAATGCAATACTATATTCTAAGGTATAGAATAACAAGCAAACTTAAGTAAAAAAAATTTTTAGAATCTTATAAAGCATGATTTAATAGCGGTGCGGGTCGGTACGGTTTGGAAGAAAAATAGAAACCGGCGGATTGATAAAAGAGTCACTAGAATTTGCTATTTTTCTTACCAAACCAACGGTTCGATTGGCAAATAATAACGAATTTGCCTTGGTGGTGTGGTTTTGGTGGTTTCGGCGGTATTATGCACACCCCTAGTGAGAGTTACATATCTTATTTTCAATACTTGGGCCAGTATGTTGATAGATACTAGGTCATTTCACACATTCATAGCATCCACATTTGCATCCATGTTAGGGTTAGAAAGTGAGCAACTAGAGTCTTCGCTTGAGGCAGAGTCACCCGTTGGGGGTAAAATTATCGTGAATCGGGGATGTCACGGGTGTAATTGAGGTCGCTGATCGTCGACTTCTATTCAGCTTTGTGTTGTTAGATATGTCCGAATTTGATGTCATCCTCAGCATGGATTCGTTGTCTTCCTACCGTTCCATTATAGATTGCTACTGTATGAGAGTTATTGTTTGCACGTCGGGTGGTGATTGCTTCTCTTTTCTGGGGGATAGAACCAACAGATTGTTGCCACCATTGTATGACCCACGTGATCGAGGCGAACTTAGCTCTCTCTTAACAAATTTCTTAGATGAAAGGAGTAGTAAGGTCTAAGATGTGTTTCCTAAAGTGGTTTGCGAGTACTCAGATGTCTTTCAAGAGGATCTCACCGAATTACTGCATCTCAGCAGGAGGTTGAGTTTTCCATAGACCTAGTGCCAGGACCATATAGATTCGCACTAGTTGA